CCAGCATTGTGAAGAGCTTATCCCACTTAGTGAAGACTGGACTTCTGCAGGGTTCAGATGAAGGTGTGGGGGTCACCTCTGAGAGAGAAATCAAGGGAAAGAAGAGGAATGCAGAAAAAGAGAGAGAGAGAGAGAAACAACAACATGAGTTTAGATGATATGGTTTGTGTATGTACTTAAGGTGACACCATTGAGTTTGAAGGGTTAGCAGCGGAGAGTGCATCAAGGTCCTATGTAACTAGAGATTGTGAACTATATGAAATATTGCAACTAAGACAGCTAAGTCAACTTGTAGTTGACTTAAATGCTTAGATCTTGAAAACTCATATAGAATATAGAAAAATGATTGATTGATTGAAACTCAACCAAAGAAAAACCTTTAAGTTTCTGCAACAATGGGATGATCCCAGCAAACAGAAATGCAAAATCTATTTCTTCACATGATTATAAAAATAGTTTGAACGTACTGAAACATATCTTCAAAACATGACATTTATTTATAACCTTGGGTCGTTTATGAGAAAATTTTCACTAATAAAGTAGAATACTCAATTTAAAAATAATGATTGGCTCTTTTTTAATTTGAACTGAAAATCTTTAAAGCTATAAAATTTATGACCATCAAGAACTTTCAATTATATGATGTCATGACACAACGCATGCATTCTGGTACACTGCAACACATATTCCTGCATTCACAAATGTTTAAAAACATGATCCCAATGAGTCACATTGTTTGTTTTTCTTTGTCTTTTTCCTTGCTAATATAACTCCTGTCTGAAAGGCATGTCCACGCACACGCTCATAGTTTATTAGTCCTGACAACACTTGCATGTCTCTGTAACTCACAGCTAATAGTACTGATCACAATGATTTTTTAATTAATTTTTTTGTCGGTTACTCACCTTCCAGCTGGTCCTCGTCAGTTATCTCATTGAAATAATCTTCTCCAAAGCTCACCTTGATATCATCCCCATAATTCTCAGGTACTGCCGTGGACAATGAAACCACCAGACACATGGCCTGGAGGAATGTCCGCTTGGATGTGCTGGCCATGTGTGAATATGAACAAGGCTCAGTGTTTGTGTATAATTGTCTCTTTTCTCTCTGGTGGCCCTCCTTGTTAGATGCTGAGCAATCGGTTGGCTGGACTCCTGCTTGTTTGGTGAACTGCAGCTGAAAGGGAACTGAGCCTGATAGAGGAGCTCTGTGGTCTATATAAACATTGTGCTCAGAAAGAGAGAGAGAAAGAGGTGGGGGAGAGAGAGTTAGCTCCAGTGAGAAGTTCTTCATTGGAGGTATGGGTAGTCAAATTGTTGTACTGCTCCTGCAACTCAGGCAAAGAGAGAGAGAGAGAGATAGGGGGAGGATGTTGGGAAAGAGGGGAAGTACCAGTGAATTTTGAAATAATGGCCTGGAATTTCTGTAATACCCAATTCTTTACTATAACTTATCACTAAAATCAGAGGGAAATGAATGGTTAAATATTATTCAAGAGTTTAACACTAATCTAACCCTTAGTCTCTATCCCAAATCCTAAATCCAACCTTGACACTTAATGTCTGTTATAAATATATTGCCTGTGACCCCTTTTCCTTCTTCTAACTTGTACCTTAATCTTTCAGACCTACCCCTAGTCCTGAATTTCGTTGTCATATTTCTGATGACCTAAAGTTGCAACTACCAACTTTACCTACAGTGCTTCTCATTTGTAATCAGATTTTCAAAAGCTAGGGCCAGTTATGCAGCTCACCGGTGATGTCAGGTTATCCAGTGACAGAAACACTTATAAGCAACTACTGTAAGTACAGTGACCTTATGTGACCTTGTGACCACCAGTGATTAAAATTGCTGTAAATGTGAACAGGCATAAATCCAAGCCTTAACCTCCACTCCTTTTCTCCAGTCCATATCCCAATCTTGGAAAACTAGACATGCTTCCGGTTCTTGATTAGGATCTGCTGAATAGGACCCACTGTTAAAAAACCTAACCCTAAAATCCTGATTAGTTGATAGGACTGTTTTGAAACCACAGAAAACATCTCTTTCATTCACGTGTTCTCTTATTTAATCTTATTATTGAATAATGTGCTTTGCTGTACATTAAACTATTTAATCTTCTATTGTTTTGGGTTTGTACTGGGTAGAAAGAATGGGTCCACAAGCTTTGTTTGTGATAACTGAGTATTAAGGACGAAAAATCATAAAGAAAACATGGCTTGTCAGAAAGGCTCAGATTCTGTTTTTTTGCTTCCTGTGGGGTGCTGGGGTTTGAGTCATAGAAATTTGCTGTCATTTTGGTGCTAATCAAAGGCGCCACTTTCACAGTCATGCACATTTCCCCAGAAACAAAGACTCCACACCCAACTGCAAACAATTTGATGCCTTCTAAACCGGGGCTGATGCATGGCTGATATATTTCATGTGCAGGCCCATGTGGCGCTTTATGGAAACAGAAAGGTCCCATGACGTACCCTTTGTGAGGTCGACATTAATATGTCTGCAACACAAAATGCCTTAAACTGCAACGGATGGATTTTTCTGCTTATGTCAGCCAGGTTTGCGACAACATCAGCATGCCAACAAATCTTTCCAGAATGTGAGCTTTACATTAGTCATCAGTCCATTAACAGTCAGAATTTTACTTATCAGCACGTTCTCTGTTCAGCATGAATTTTCACGGATGAAGATCATACCTCAGATTAAGATCAACCACAAACATGTGGTTCCCCACTGAGGACGTCTACTTCTTGATGCCTGGTGCAAAAAGTATGGAGGCATATCTGAATGTGAACTCAGGGCAGGGTTACTGGACAGTACAAATGTGAATGACTGGTCTCGTTGTCTGAAGGGAACACAGTGGAAGGTCAGCTTCGGCTAATGCCGTCAATCTGCCACCCTGGAATAAAAAGTGCTGATGATGAAATTCCAGCAGAACCTACTCCATAATTGACAGCAAACTCGGACAATGAGGTTTTAATATGGTACAGTATATTCCATGACATCCTCACACCTACAACCCAACAAGTGGGCTGAGCAGGAAGGAAATATTAAAATGAACACCTGTAGATTTATCATTCCTTGAAATAAATTTTTGTAATTTATTGTACACGGAGTGCACTTTGTTATTTGTTGTACTGAACAAAATGTGTTACTGCTGATTTGAAGGAATATTTCAGGCTGGATGCAATGATACATTTACAATAGATGCTGTGCAGACAAGAATTATACAGTTAAAAACAGCTGTGAAGTGGTTTAAGTCGTCCTTTTGAGAATGGATTGCTTTTCATGGGGGATCCTTACTTTTGGTTACTTGGTTAAGCTTTAATCAGTTATAAAAATGGGTCTTGTGAATTGGTAGCGATGGATTCAGTGATATGGAAATAAAACAAACCATATTTTAACTTATTTAAAAAAATGTAATACATATTCAATCATTTACTCATCTGGCACAATAATATACTGTAATGTCTTTATGTATTATATATATAAAAACTATTAAAAAACTATAGTGATCTACATCTACATCAGACAATAATAATAATAACATATTGTCAGATCAGCTGTGTTTTTCTTTTTTGGCACAACCTCTGCTCTTATGACTGGAGGAACAAAGATCACATACATGTGTATGTAGAAAATCTTTTAGTTGTGCTCGTTAGTGGTTGATATTTCTCTAAAAATATAGAGATACCTTCTGCCAAAACACCTGGCATAGAAAAGATCGTCGATATTTCTTATTAACTGTCTAGGGCCAGCAACATTTCCCCAGCTGTCTCATTATGAAAGGTTATGTATAACACTAATCCTTCATTAACATCACCTGCTGTATGTAGAAACAGGTGGGCAGGTCTTCTGCAATCCTAAATGTCCCCCCTGAGCCAGACGAAACATCTCATTTACAGAATTATCTCTGCTAACTGACCGCCCTGACTTAGATGGCTCGCCAGAGCAGATATTAGATTTGTTGTTGATGTTGGGTGGGAGTTTCCTACCATATTTTGTTTCCGATGAAGTGTCGTTTTTTGCAGTTAAATGGATGATCTGTAAAAATCGTTCATGACATTAAATCAGGGTGTTAGTAACAGCTGGGTCATGGAAATTGGTAAACTAATTCATCAAAGTCTGTTTACCATAATCTTCCAGTAAACTTTTCAAAGGGCCATTACATAACATCTGAGGGGAAATTTTGGAGTGATGTTACACAATCTTTTAGTTGCAAATTTAGTTGTACTGTACATGATCGTTTTCCTCTGCATGCAAATCTGATCTGTTTTTCAAGTGGATTTTTTGACTGCAGTAGTGAAACGTGTCCCATGTTGTTATAACTGTCACACTTCAGAGGTTACTGACTGGTGCTTGAAACCCTCTGCTGTGATTTTATTGGTAGTGGTGCCATTCATTCGCCCCTCAACTCCATGATCTAGCATCATGGTGTCTTTTCACTTCCTGTTCCCACACTTATTTCATAGAGCTCGACTGGAGCTCAAATGGCAATCCGAGATCTTCCTTGTGCTCAGATTCACCAAGTCATAGATTGTTTCCAGATAAAGTGGGGCTTTTAAATTACCTAAATTTGCCTGTTTAATTTTGAATTCCAAATCTTTCTGTTCTTTGTTGTAGTGCAATCATTTGCGTGTCTGCTAAAACAGCAAGGCCTGACATTTCGAACTAAATTAATAAGGAAACAAAGAGAAATAAAATCCATACAACAACAACAACAGTGCAATTATCACGAAAAGGGCTTAAATGTGAATCAGTCCTCACTCAGTTTTGCAGGGGATATGACATGCATATTTCCACCAGTGTCCACATTTTTTTTTACTTGGCTGGAGGTTCAGGTCATCAATCATTGTGTTTTTATATATTTATTTATTTGTGTGTGTGTGTGTGTATACTTTACTAACAATAACTATGGTATTTGGACATAGATTATGGCTACAATGATCACTTTTCTATATGAGAAGCGTGCTATATTGATGAATTATTGGTTTTGATAGGTAATGCCATGCTGTTGAGAGTGCTGCCATCTGTGTATCCACGACAACCAGAGCCCATCCATCAACACATCCGTGAACTGACGGTGATGATGTCCCAGTTGGACCAGGCCGGCAGACAGCACCTGCTCAGACTACTGCAGACGATCTCTGAGCATCACCCCCTGGTGAGTGAAGGAGAGACAAATGAGTGTGCAAGAGAATGAACGTGGTGTTTGAGGAGGAAGTCTGGTCAAGGTGAGTTATTCTGGGGAACAGTAAAAGAATTCGAAGGTCACCAAGGGAGTGGAGTGGTGGATACATAAGTGAGTGATTTAGCATTTATTTTAAAGCAGACAGCTGCAGTACAAGGTCAAACTCGGTAAAACAGTTTAATGGTTGACACCTCTGGAGCTACCATAGTTGAGCAGCCGCCAAACGGGTGGGGAAATATCAGAAAGCACATCCTAAACTCTTGGCACCCCTGGCTCTGACTGAAGGTACATTTACAGGAAAAGAAAAGAGGAAACCACAGTTTTGGCAGAAACAGAACCAGTCATCTGTTTTTTTACATTTTGAAATGCTTTTTGAGGGGGATTGAGGGGCAGCCTATGCATGGAGTCAGAAGAATGCATTAGTCATGAAGAGATAATTTTACATTGGGTAATAAGCACATGCATATCACTCTGCTCATCAGTGAAAACATTGGATACTTAAATAGTAGTAAGATTAGGAAAGATTATGAGGCATTATTTCATAATAAAGCTTCTGTTGTCATTTCCTTTTATTCATATTTACCGAAATAGGAAATGACAATTCAATGAAAAATGGTACTATTTTCAGGGATTGATATTGTCATTCTGAAAGCCCAAAGTCCAAAGCCATTTCCATCATAGAGACTGAGGGGCTATCATAAAATAGGATTTTAAATGGCGTCTTTAAGGGGATAATTCACCCGAAAATTAAAATTCTGTTATTAATTACTCACCCTCATGTCGTTCCAAACCTGTAAAACCTTCGTTCATCTTCGGAACACAACTTAAGATATTTTTGATGAAATCCGAGAGCTTTCTGACCCTGCATAGACAGCAATGCAACTGAAATGTTCAAGGCCCATAAAGGTAGTAAGGACATCGTTAAAATAGTTCATGTGACATCAGTGGTTCACCCTTCATTTTATGAAGCTATGAGAATACTATTTGTGCGCAAAGAAAACAAAAATAACGACTTTATTCAACAATTTCTTCTCTTCCATGTTAGTCTTTGACACACGTTGACGAGAGTACCACGACACATGCGTGTGCATTCCTCTGCTTGAAAACAAGGCGCAGCGCATCTGGGTCCTACGTCAGAACGCTGGCTCCTGCATCAGCAGCATCATCACACGTATGCGTCGTGGTACTCTCGTGAATGCACATCGACTGACACGGACAGAACCAGTCATCTGTTTTTTTACATTTTGAAATGCTTTTTGAGGGGGATTGAGGGGCAGCCTATGCATGGAGTCAGAAGAATGCATTAGTCATGAAGAGATAATTTTGCATTGGGTAATAAGCACATGCATATCACTCAGCTCATCAGTGAAAACATTGGATACTTAAATAGTAGTAAGATTAGGAAAGATTATGAGGCATTATTTCATAATAAAGCTTCTGTTGTCATTTCCTTTTATTCATATTTACCGAAATAGGAAATGACAATTCAATGAAAAATGGTACTATTTTCAGGGATTGATATTGTCATTCTGAAAGCCCAAAGTCCAAAGCCATTTCCATCATAGAGACTGAGGGGCTATCATAAAATAGGATTTTAAATGGCGTCTTTAAGGGGATAATTCACCCGAAAATTAAAATTCTGTTATTAATTACTCACCCTCATGTCGTTCCAAACCTGTAAAACCTTCGTTCATCTTCGGAACACAACTTAAGATATTTTTGATGAAATCCGAGAGCTTTCTGACCCTGCATAGACAGCAATGCAACTGAAATGTTCAAGGCCCATAAAGGTAGTAAGGACATCGTTAAAATAGTTCATGTGACATCAGTGGTTCACCCTTCATTTTATGAAGCTATGAGAATACTATTTGTGCGCAAAGAAAACAAAAATAACGACTTTATTCAACAATTTCTTCTCTTCCATGTTAGTCTTTGACACACGTTGACGAGAGTACCACGACACATGCGTGTGCATTCCTCTGCTTGAAAACAAGGCGCAGCGCATCTGGGTCCTACGTCAGAACGCTGGCTCCTGCATCAGCAGCATCATCACACGTATGCGTCGTGGTACTCTCGTGAATGCACATCGACTGACACGGAAGAGAAGAAATTGTTGGATAAAGTCATTATTTTAAGTACAATTTTGGCTGTATTATTTGTGTCCCCTTCAAAAATTGCTCTTGAGAAAGTTTGTTTATTGTCCCCTCCCCAACTGTTAGATGAAATTTACACCCGTGATACGCAGTATATTTTAATCCAACAGTACCGTATATCCTTGGTCATATTTCTGTTTCACCAGCTAAGATCAGTTGGTGAGCTATATGACTCATACCAGTTATTCGAACAACACTGAACCAGCACCCACCAGCATAGACTAGCATAAAAATTCATGAAATATTTTCTTTTTAAATGGATGGATTGATAGATAAACAAATAGACAGGTACATCAATAGCATTCCTTCTATAGTAAATCAGAAATCATGTGGGAGAGGAGATACCCCAGGCTCTCTCTGTCCCAGTGCTGCTAGTTTATATAGTGATTTGGAAGCAGACGGGATTAATAAAGATTAGTTAGTGGTTTTCACATCCTGACAGAGGCTGGGAATCCTGCTTCTCACAGGACGTCCTGTCTGCTGCCCTCCCAGCTACACCAGATCCTCTCTTCGTCCTCTCAACCACTGCCAATTCAAAGGTGAAGTGTTTTACAAGGAAAATTTGAGAATTAAGCAAATCCTCGCTAAAAGGGTGTAGTTGGATTCATTTCATGCTGGAGAAAAGAGCTCATGTAACCCATGTGGCTCATTTGCCTCTAGTTATTACTGCAGTTTGTCATGAATGTCAACCAACACACAAGATGATCTGTAGTTCTTCTGTGAGTCACTGTTCGTTTTAAAGGTCATTGCTGCTTTGCTATAACAGATAGATAAATCTAGATAAACTGTCCATAGTGGGAGGATGATTACGAGTTTCCTTCTGCTCCACATTTTTTCTCCTGTTACTGTCTTCACTAGTTTTTCTCTGCAAGCTCGTATAGGAACCAGGGACTCTGGTTAATGGGTGGGCGGCACTGAAATCCACCAACCAGAGTGCTGTGGTACTTTACACAGCACGATTACAACCATATGGGACCTTTGATGAAAGAAAAGTTCAGGACCAAATGAGTGTGTTTGTGGTGTTTTTACTATTTTTATTACATCCCCACTGTGAGGAGTCCAGATTGCATGTCCTTAGGTGCTTCCAAGAACAGCAGAGAACTGTAGAAGTGCTTTTATACCCTCAAAATACATGTGTGTGTATATATATATATATATATATATATATATGTGTGTGTGTGTGTGTGTGTGTGTGTATGTATAGTTTTTTTTCCCACATTTTTTTAAGAGATATAACAATTAAAAAAAAAAAAAGGTTACACGTTTCGTGTTTGGGTCATTTTAAACCTGGGTATGTATGGAGTCCATTAGTGTCAAAAATACTTTTTGTTATATTATCTGTGAATTGAAATCAGTGTCAGAAACATTTGTAAAAATATATTTAGTCTTTTCCCCATATCTCACACACTTTTGGGACTGAATTTTGTTGGTAAACATAAATATGTACACCTATTGACAAACCAATGCAACATTAAAATGTATCACTTTTTTGGTGTCGTTCATGTGTAATTTCAAATAAGTTTTTAATTAATCAAAAAGGGGTAAATGCAGTAAAAACATAGTAACATTCAAAACTTTTTCACATTCACTCATTAATGAGAAGCTGCTCTTCAGATACAATATGGTTGGTTCATGTGTAATTTCAAATTTCAAATAAGTTTTTAATTAATCAAAAAGGGTTAAATGCAGTAAAAACATAGTAACATTCAAAACTTTTTCACATTCACTCATTAATGAGAAGCTGCTCTTCAGATACAATATGGTTTTAGTTGAAAAATATTAAGTTATGACTGTATTATAAAAAAAAAAAAAAAAAGATTATTCGGGTCAGAATGAATTTTGAATGCATTATGAGGGTTCAACTTTAGCCTTGTCTTTTTGTCTCCTCAGGTATTGTCGTCTTTGGTGCCATCGTTGATTGTTTACATCAGTGATAGTGATCTCAGTGACACTGCCTTGAGTGTGTTGGTGAGCGTGGCTCAGGCAAGCCCCGCCTCTCTCGTTCCTTTCCTGTCCACCCTAAGAAATGTGGGTCAGAAGAACCCTTGGTTGTTGGGACACATCGCTAAGATCCATGGGGCAGTGGGTCTGACTAGTGAGGTGGGCATTTACATCACAATTCATGTTCATGCATCAAATCCAGATAAACACTTAATGCGCTTGGTCATACTGTATGTCAGAGTGCTGAATCTGCCTCAAGATTCATCAGACTGGTCCAGTGTTGTGTGTCTCATGTGTCAAAAAGTATTTTTACTTGTCGCTTTGTTTTAAAGGGGCATTCAGTAGTTCTCTAAAGTATGCATCACTGTTCTTCATGTTTTTAAGTGCCGATACCACAAAGGTGTACTGACATGGTTCAGCATGATTGTCTCTGAGTGTTTTTTTTTTAACACTGATACAAGTGAGTTTTAGAAAGCACTCTGCATTAATTCCCTTAAAAAAAGTGATTTGGTGAAACATTGCAGGTCACATAAGTTTAGCATGTGTACACCATTCAGATTACTCTTCACAAAAACAATTAATTTCTTAATGTGTAAAACTTTTAAAATTAACAACAAACTATTAAATGCACCTTTAAAAATATGCGTTGTCACCGATAGCCTCGTGGGCAGTGTGTCGACATGTAGCGCCATTGCGCTTCGGGCGTCCCGTGTTCGAGTCCCGGCTCCCGATCCCATCCCCCCTCTCTCTCCCACTTCGCTTCCTGTCTCACTACTATCCTGTCAATAAAAGGCAAAAACGCCAAAAATAAATCTTAAAAAAAAAAAAACTGCTATTATTGTTATTCCCTCGTCTCCTCGTTCCTCGCTCTGCAGTAGTCTGATGTTCATGGTGTGAGATGCTGAAAAAATTCTAGCGCATATTTACAAGGCCAGTACTAAAAATAGTGCATTCAGAATGGAGCAAGACCTTTATGAAAAGCTCCTAGCAAGCTTTATTACGCTTACAGTATGTCATGACACGTTACCCATAAGACTTTGCAGTAATAGCTTCTTTTCTTCTTATTATCTTATTGTTAAAATGTTAAAGTTTCATACCACTTGTAACACTGGGAGGTCTTTTTCTTCTCACATAAAACAATAGTTTCAAATTATTTAACATACATTTATTTGCTGTACGATATCCCTCAGAAAGCTTTCTGCTGAAGAAAGCTATCACAGTCCTTCTCAAAAAACAGGGAGCTAGGTAATATGCATGCCAATAGGAACCTTTAAACTTTGACAGCACTCACTGTGAGATGTATTGCTGAAAGAGTTGAATATGTTACAGAAGTGGTGCTTTGATGACAGTAATGGTGTTGCTTTAGGGGTGAATGTAGAAATAGAGAGGAGTTGTAGCACGCTAAAACTGCTGTGATCTTTATTAGATGTGAATTCTTGTTGGAATTGAAGTTATATGCTGAAACAGCCATGCAGTGCATTTTTCTCCTGGTTTCTTCATTTGGGATTATAGTACAGATCTGTGCATCATTACAGTTATTGTAGCAGGTGATGAAGAGTTCAGATGAATGATGAATGTGAATCGTATCACTCATCAGTTCTGTCCGTGTGTGTGTGTATCCTGTGGTTTCTTTGTGTTAGTATTTTGGCACCCTGGACTGTTTTTTTCCAGAGTTATCAGAAGTATTCCATCATATTAGAGAAATTAGGAAAGCATAAAATGAACTTTGCAAGTTTTGGTCTGTTGTTTTAGTACACATTTTAACTAGACTTCTTCTTTTTGCAGCTTTCATCCTTCTCTCTTAAAATATCTGTTTCTGTCACTGTCCTTATGATTTCTATTTATTTCCACAGTGAGTTTAAGTAAAAAAGGTTCAGTTTTTCTTTCTCTCCTTACATTTCTCAGCTTTTTCAGTTCCTTTTATTCCATAGTTGCCTTTCTTCTTGTGTTCTTTTTCATATATCACTTATTAGTGTTCTTATACACTCATGAATTATTACTAATTATTTGCTACTTCAACCTAAATTATTACATAGGGATTTATTAGCAAATCTCTAACTCTATTAAATCTAAACTGTAAAAATGTACTATGGACTTCAGATTAAGTTGTTGAGAGGTGTGCCATTACTTTTAGAAGTGATTAAACTACGATACAATAGACTTTAGTCATTTTTAATTTTGTTGTAAATGAAAAGGTGTAAGGTATAGATGTACAGTCTGTTCATTGGATTGAATTGCAGCGATTCATACATATAGGTACGTTTTTTTTAGTTTTTCGGAAATTAGGTAGAGGCATGTATTGCATGAGCCTGGGTAGTTTTTCAGAGTTTTAGCAACCACCTTCAGCACCTTGGTATTGTGTTGGTGACTTTTGCACAAGCAAACACCTCTCACTTTTTCCTCAGAAATTGTAAAATCTAGTTCATTTTCTTTTTTTAAAGATTTATTTTTGGCGTTTTTGCATTTATTATAACAGGACAGTAGCTAGACAGGAAGCGAAGTGGGAGATAGAGGGGGACGGGATCGGGAAAAGTCCATGAGCCAGGACTCAAATTTGGGACACCCAAAGCACAATGGCGCTGTAGCACACTGCCCACGAGGCTATCGGCACCAACTACTTCATTTTCTTTAGTTCCCCCGCACTAAATTATGCTTACGTTCCACTTTCAGCTACTTCAGTATTTGTTAGCATTAATTGAATCACTAATGGCTCTCCTCGCTTTTTTTTTTTGTCATCATTTTCTTGTTAATTAAGTAGCCCGAAAGTGTTGACACAGTTCTGGATGTGTCAGCATTACTAAGCTTTGCTCATCCCTGAGGTGTTCCAAACCTGCTTGCTGTGCCGAGGGACGAGGAATCATTTTAACACGTCATCACTAGTGTGGAGAGAGAGCTCTAGCATTCGTCCTTTGGTTCTCTATCTGTTTGGTAAACCGATACCTGCAGCGTACTTGGCTGTTTTTCAATGCTGCCTAATATGTTTGCTTTGGAGATGGACCACGGTCTGACCAGTTGTGATCAGGGTCATGTGGAGATAAAATGGCACAAGCTGATTTAAATCCAGTTACTTTCTGAGTGGACCTACTCAGAGCTCCCATATGCCTTAGCAGCAAAATAATCAAGGAAATATGGCACTGTCTTCAGCTTTTACTTCTGTACAACCATGTATAGATATATAAGATTTCTGGTTAGGTCTGTTGAGGAAATGGCCGTTTTTTTACTAAACTGGCTTCATGTGGCCACCTTTCCTGCGTTCACAAAGTTTTGTGAGACGGTGTTGGCTTGTTAAACAGTCACATGGATATGTGCCAAATTGCTGAATGCTGAAAAAGTTGTTTCTTCCTTTCATATTTGCGGAGGGGCAATTAAAGGAGACCGCAGAATAAAAAGACCAAAAAGAAGTGTTAACATGGTTTTAGAAAGGCGCCACTGAAACGTGAGCCACTCAACATTTCACACAAAAACAAACACATGCGCAAATGCATGTGCACACACACATGCTCAACCACCGTGGAGAATAGTTCAGACTATTGTTGGATGGTAAATCTCAGAAGATTGCTCAAGACAGGCCAAATTGCTCCCTTTTTTTCTGCGTAGCGCCACATGCTGCGAATCTGCATTTCTCACAGTGTTCCTGCTCCTTCTGGGAAAAAAAAAATGTTATAGATAAAGACAAAAAAAAGACTGGATTGAATTGAGTTAGCATGTACTTTTTTTTTTTTTTTTTGAAAAGTCAAGAAAGTTCAAAAACAACAGAGAAGTTAATTATACCACTCCATTATAAACCGCAGTCAACCACATTTACATTTAGAGTCTCAAGTGTTTTGAGAGCGAACTTTCTAAATATATTCAACTACTGTTTTGTCTTATTTCACGTCCAGTAGACAGTAGCCAGGGCCGTCACACCCAGGGTTAAAACTGGGACAGAGTGCATAGGGCCCAGAGGCTGAGAGGGGCCCACAACCATGTCCTTTTGGGGGCCCGACTGAGAAAATATGTTTCATTTATTGTGCATAATATAATTTTTCTTTCATTTAATTTTCAGCGTGAAATGTGACATTGCTTGACAGTTTTTGTAGGATTCACTCAAACCATAGTATATGAATATGGTGGTCAGTGTGGTATTGCCATAGGATACAGACACAGTACTTCTTGTAAGGATCATTATGTACTTTATTTGTGGTTTTGAATATTTTCTCTATACTTTCCCACCAAACCTTGAAGAAATTATCACATCTTTTATAAGAGATCAATTTAATTAGATTTCTCCCTGGCCCTTATTCTCATTTCCTTTTGGTGATGTGTGACATGTCTGTTAAACCCGCATAAACAACAGAAAACAGACACGGATTGGTCCTGCGTCTGCTCAATAACAGTCACGCTGCAAAATACATGATGTTTTTTGATGCAACGCGTCATCATATATTCCTACATAAATTTTGATGACATGTTTAGCTGTGTACTTTCCTCCTCTCTACTTGTTTATTTGCAGATGTCCTCCTAAGTGTTGTTTGTGAAGGGATTGCAGTGATTTGAGAGCATGTTTGATGACATCTTTGGTTTCGAGAGGGCAAGTTGATTTGTCTTTCTTTTGATCCATTTCAGTTAAGCAAAGTGCTGCAACTAATTTATTTCTGTAATTGTGACTGTGGGTTGTTGTTGAGAGTTTGACTATCTATGAAGTAGACAGGACAGTTTATTTCTCAAACTTTACAAAGTGTTGATAGTAATGATGTAAACCATGTAATCCTTGCCAAAAATCATGATGCATGTGCATATTTTGTCTTAGGGTGAATAAAAAAAAGTAAAAAACAAATTGTGTGTGTGTATATATATATACATATACATATATACATATTTGTTTGATAATTTTTTTTTGCTGAATAGTTAATATTAATAAATGCTGTCAACATTACATTTATGTGAAATATTTAGAAAATGGAATTAAACTTTTAATTTGACTTCCCATCATGCTGAGGAAAGAGTCCAAATTATGTTACTCCTCTGTGTGAAAATGTTAAGCCATGTTTATTTTTTGTAATGGGGCACAGCTAAATATTAGGGCTTTGGTAATTCAAATAAGTTGGTTGTGGAAGACACTCTAATTCCATGACTGGTATGTTTGTTACAATGGTGTGTGTGTGTATGTCATTATCTTG